TATAGTGATGAATGTAATTCATCTATACTGTCTGAAGAATAAGTAGATTAGGAGTAAACTGAATCGTTACTATAGTGTACTATATAGTTCTTAATCAATATATTGGTCTGATTGAGATGTTTCTATTTACTTTTAATTTCTTAACATTTTTCTTTTGACATCTGTTCTTTGTCTGCTATTTTAGGCAAATTGCTTTGGCAGATATCATTCTCCTCAATAAAACAGACTTGGTTCCAGAAGAGGATTTAAACAAATTAAGAACAACCATTAGGTACAAAATTATAAGTTTATTAAGTACCTGCAAATCCAAGTGTACTATACAAAATATTTTTACTACGACTATTTGCCCTATAGAAACTTAAGGTTCAAGGTTGACCTGCTCCATGGGCCAGTAGGTAATCACTTGTGTTGTTGACTAATTGACTGCTATGTAAATAGTAATGTATAAAATTAATCCCCTTTGCTTGCAGAATATAGTTCAAAATCTGTAGACTGATATTCAGGGTCCTCTGACTCCAGTCTTCTTTTGCTGTCTTTTCTTTGACTCTTTCCTAATGTCAAGCCTACCTAACTTTACCCAGGATGGTCACTTGCCCATGAATGTGTCTTGCCAGATCTCTTCTTTATTTGTAATGTGTTCTCACTCTGCCAATCCCTGAATTCCTTTGTCATCTTTTTTTGTTTGTTTGTTTGTTTGTTTTTGGTTTTTTTTAAAAGCAATTTTATCCATTTTGTAGAGCCTGTTCTCTCTCTCTCTCTCTCCCCCCCCTTTCCCCTTCCTCCATGAAGTCTGTCTGACTTCACAGGTGGTCTCACTCTTCCCTGAACCCTCATTGACTTTGTCTTCCTTAACTGTCAATTATGCCTTTCTTCCAACTTGCTTTGATGTCTTCAGTGTCCATGGTCCAGGCTGATTATGACAATATGACTGATACTCAAATATGTGTCAAATGATTCAGCTGTCATTTTGCTGACTGTTCTGGAGATTTCCATTCCTTTTGAAAAGAAAGATGTACTTTTCAAACAAGGTTAGAGTTCAGGGAATTATTTTGTTTTGAATTATTTTGTAAGTCCTGAACAAATAAATGACATATACAGAGAGACATTCAGTAGCTTTTATTATTGGTCATCTTTAATGTGTACAATGCTTTGTGCTTGGTGGCTCAAAATTTACCATTCTTAGCATTTATAACTTTTGCCGACATCAGATTTTGAATCTGTCATGCCAGTTACTATATGTTATAAATTGAATCAATAAAAGGCAAGGCTCATTAAGAGATTGTTTGCACTGATTAATGATTCTGGAAGAAAGAAATTCATACTTTTTCTGCATATTTGATCTTAATACTAATGTTCTTTAACTTTACTATAAAAAATTATGTTAATATCTTCATGTGGAGGGCAGGTAGTGTTGCATAGTATTGAAGATCATGGACCTCGGAATCTGCCTGGGTCCTAATCCTTGGTCTGTTTCTCACTGTGTTCTTAGGAAACTTATTTAACCTTTTAAAGCCTCAACTGTAAAACAGGAGTAATACTTATCTCATAAGTTTGCTTTGAGTATTACATGAGACAATGTTGATAAACTTGGCACAGTGTCTGACACATAGTAGTGCTCTGTTAGCTGTTATTATCATTATTATAATGTAGATTTTTTTTCTTAGTAAATTCACGTTATAGAGAATAAATGAAAGAAAGAGAAGGATAGCTGATATTTTTGAAAAGTCTAGAAAGGTGAAAGTGCTGAATGGAGATTACATCTTTTACTCCTTTTGACACTGATCTTCTAATTTTGTTTCTTTTTTCAAAATCTTGTACACTATTGTGATTGCTAGAAAAACATACTCTATTTAGCAAACATTTTTGGTATAAAAGGAGTGATTATTATTACTTGGCTTTTATATCCCCATATTGACTATCTAAGCTGAATTACTGACACTGGCAATATTGGTTATTAGCCAGCTTGTTAACAGTATCAGAAAAGAATTTGGAAGAAGCAGTTTGATAAGTTACAGACCCTTTTGACTTTTATCCTCCGTTTACATCAGACTTGTGAGTGACTCAGAATCAGATTTGGGGCATTGAAAGAAGGTAAACATGTTTGAGAGGAAATAGCCATCAGATTGCAGAGTATATTCCAAAGAGAAGATAAAGAATTTTGTAAGATAGTTGAAAGAAGCAGTGGAGAGACTGGTCTCAGAATCATTGCATGTGGGAAAGCAAAAAAGGCTTCTTGGGCAAGTAACCCTAAAGACAGTGGAATTGATGATATAAATAGATGCAATATACAGTATGTTGCAGAGGATTTAACAAGTACTTTTTGGTGCCATATAGAGGGAGCTGTATTTCATTATTTTAGTATCAGTAGAGGGAGGGCAGGCATAATGAGATCCTAGTTAGGGAACTGAAGGGGTTATTCTGTAAAGGAACCTGGGATATGTGACTTAGAGTTACTGTGAATAATGGGGACAAGCTGGGTCAAAGCCACTTAGAACCAGGTTTTTATTTCTATTGTGTGTGTAGTCATTTCCACAATGTGTGCCTGGGGAAAAATTGGCTTCCAGTTAAAATTTTGAGTGTCTACTCATTTTAAGAACACTAGAATTACTGGCTATTTATGAATCATTTTTTTCTAAAAAAAATCACAAAGTAGCCCCTAATCTGCCAGTTTTGCAGTAGATTTTTGCACATCATAGTTTCTTAATGCATGAGTGGAATATACCTGATTTATGGTTTGAAGGAAAGGAATACTTAAACTATAAAAAAGTAAGTTTTGTTTTTCTATTTTTAATTTTTTTCTAGTTCCAGATATATGTGTATGCTTACTTTCTGTTTTAGAAATAATATGTTTTGTGTGCTTTTAAAAAAAGTTAATGTTTGTAGTTTTTTTACCTTCTCTTGCTCATTTTTAAATTTCAGATCAATAAATGGACTAGGAAAAATTTTGGAAACACAGAGATCAAGGTACTTTTAAAAAGCTATTACTAATACTAGCAACAAGTAATTTTAGTTATTAATAATACAGACTAAATAATTGATAAATATGTTTGATTCTAATATAAGAGAAGATAGTTATATTTAAAAAAGTGGGACCCAAAAATGTTGTTTTGAATGCTCTTTATAAATTAGTTTGGCATATTTAGTTGATACATTTACTACTCTTAAGACTACAGAGCCATGATAACACTATGTAACTGTGCTTTTGCTTAATAAGGAAGAACACATAAGACTTTAAACCACTCAAAAAGGTAACTCAGTCCAGAAATTTGAAAAAGTATACTAAAAAATCTTAATTTGAGGTATTTAAATGGCTTTTTCATATTTTTAAAGCCTTCTTAGTGTTTCATAGTGACCAAAAAATATGTCATGTAAAAATACATGGAATCTTTACCTTTAGGTTCCAGATAAATTTTTTAAATTAAATTTGATTTTCATTTCCTTTAGGTTCTTCTTTCTTTTGTTCTGTTTATATAGATGTGCATTACTTTATAAAATAGATGGTGTTCTCAAAACATCTGTGAAATGTATTTCTGTAGATTGAACTCTATTTTCCATTGAATGCTGTCATGATTTCAGAAAATTTCTCTATGGGGGTATTTTATTAAGCTCATTTTTGGCGAGAAAGGCTCAGCAGCTGATAGACCCAGCAACATGCAGCCAGCAGCTCTGAGGCCTGCAGCTGACAGTCTAGTGCCACCCAGTCCCTAGTTGAGCGATTCTTTCTTCGGAAGTACAGCAGAGGCCTTAGCTGAGTGGCTTGTCTGCTATGGCAGAGATTAGAGGTGCTGACAGACTACAGTAAGTGTTAGGCAGTAACAGCAGCAGCTGCTTATATGCATGTGAACAGCTGGGGAATTAATTTGGTATGCATTCTCAGGAGCCACTCATCTGCTGGCAGAGGTAGCAGAAGAATGCCCTCAGTGTAAGTCCTCCACAGGCATACACCAAATGTGTTCCCTGCATTTCAGATTCCATTGTAGAAAATCTCTGATAATCTAACTCATACCATGAGCCATTCCTCAGTATCTTCTTATGTCTATATTTCCTTCTCCTTAATTTTTCTTTACCAAATAACATGCAGACAACTGTACGATATTTAAACAAGCTTTTAAAAATCATATTCATAAATAGCTGTGGTTCTGTCATAATAGCATTTATTCAGTTCATAGTTACAAATCAATTCTCTTTTGTTTTCATTTTGGAAATACCCATATCCTGAATAAAGACTTTATATTGATTAGTTTATCATGTAATGATTTAGTTTGACATTTCTAACATTTTTAACGTTTGCTCTATTACATTGTAGAACAGTAAACATGCGGTGATTGATTTTTGTTATTTCAAATGGATGAATGAACACATGAATAAAATCTTCTTTCTTCTGTTTCTTCAGTATATGGTGTTTGCTAGTACATCTGAGAATCTAGGGTCTTTCTGAAATAATACTTCCTTGCTATGAAGACTGAAGTTGCATTAGAATCCTTTTCAGTGACGATCAGACATCCATAGTAGAATTCTAACTACTGAGTCATGAATCTTACATTAAATATTTCCCCAAATTCCTTGAGGCATAGCAACTTGAGCTTCTCTGTTTAGAAACTAAGTATTCAGTTCTTAGCAAAATAGTTGAAATCACTATGATAGAAGTTTTGTTTTATTATTATTATTTTTTTAAATTTTAATCCTTTTAGTATTTTGTGGTTAAGTGCTGACAATAGTAAAACTGCTATAAGCATGTGTAGAAAAAGGCTCACCTTGAGTATTTAAGATTAGGGAATAAAAATAGTGTGTGGCATTGTCTTATTTGTAACACTTAAGTTGATTTAGAGGCAAATGAAAGATCTAGTGAACCACATAGACTTCAGAAGTAGCAGTGAAAGAGTAGAAGAGGATTTTTGTCTTCTCTAGACTTTTTCTTAATTTAGAAACTTAAGTCAACTGAACAGAGGAAAACCAAATCCAGTTGGTCAATAATAAGTTAATCAATTCAACGAACTATTTATTGAACATTCTACTGGCTCCTGGGCATTCCATGGCATGTTGAGGATTTAAGCAATGGATAAGACAAAAACTCTTATTTTTAAGGAGATCAGCATTTAGGGGGAAACAGGGAAGTGAATAAACCAAAAGCAACATATTAGATATTATTAATATAGCAGGAGTATTAAATGCACAGGGTCCTATAAGAATGAGAAGATAGAGGAATGACTACCTAACTCTTCTTGTTGAAGAGTCAGGAAAATTTTTTCTGAGAAGGTGCTCATTGACCTTTTAAAGTTTTAAAGAGTGAATAAGAGTTTTCCAGATGGACTAGAGTCCTAGGATGACTATTTCCTTTTCCAAGTATAAGGAAGACTTTGTACTCCAGGGACCTGCGAATATTTTAGGTTGGCCAGTACACATACTATCATGTAGCAGAGAGAAAATGTGGTATGACTGAAGAGATAGAGAATTCACCACGAAGGGTTTTAAATGCTGTGATATGTAGTTTGGGTTTTCTCCTGCAGATAGCAAGAAATTAGTGAAGGAAGATTTTACAAGCAGTATAACTCTTGGGAGGTGGATTCAATGTGGAGCTATTCTCTGAGGTATGGAAAATATAGGAAGGAAGAGCAACTTGGGTGGAGTGGTGGTGGAAGTAGGCTTGGAAAATGTAATTAGTTCAGTTTTGTAAACATTTTTGAGTTTGAGGTGCCACTGGGGAAAGCATTAGGAAATCTAGTTCTAGAGCTCAGGAATGAGCTATTGGACAGTATCTATAATTCGTAGATCTGAGATTGGCTGGTGTACCCTGTTTGTGAGACTCACTGAAGTTTGAAAAGGGGACTGTTAGGCAGTATCCCTAGAGTAGCAGCTGTGGTCCCATCCTCACCTTGGAGAGCTTAAACTCTCTTCCTTTTCATTCCCCTGTCCCTGGTCTTAGACCACTAAAAACAGTCTTTAGACATAAAATTGAAAGTAGCTCTTCATAGGGAAAAGATTAGGTACTCATGGCAGAGGTAGTTCAAGAAAGTAGGAGAAAAATGAACTTTTGAAATTTTTTCTTCCTCCTTTTCATTTACTTCACTCACATATTCAGTTTAAAAATTATGGTAACGGTCTCATTATTATTATTTTTTTCTATTTCAGTGTTCTAGAAAAGATTTGATATTTTTATCTCCAAAGGAGGAAGTTAAATGCATTTGATGCCATGGAAATTAGTTTTCCAGTAGTATGCCTTGAATGAATGAAGAATTTATTTTTCATGGTGGTACTAGATTTGGGGACAGTTCATAGAAACCTTGATCTCTGGTAGCTTAGACTTTTTCTCTTTTACTCTCCATTGAGAATTTGGTGAGAGACATTGATACTTTATTCTCTGTAGAGTGTAATTTGTCATACAGATCTATTATTGATCCTCTGTGCTTTGGAAATATCAAAAGAATCTGGGTATAAAGCAGAATTATCTTTAAATGACATGTATTCTCAAGGACACTGTTATAGTGAAACAGTAGTTCATTTAGAAGCTTGTGTTTCAAAACTGAATTTGATATTCCCCCAATTGGCATGAGTAAACTTTATTAAACTCTAAGCTATTTACTAAGGTGAAGATGATAAACTTGGGGGAAAACTTTATTTATTTGTGACCTGTCAATATAAATATTTGCTCCACTGTGAGGGTGAAAAAGGAAATATGTTTAATGTTAAAAGTTTGGCCCCTTAGTGTAAATTGATATTCAAGAATTTCTTCATGGGACATTTACTTTTTTGCTTGATCATTTTCCCAATTCTGCACATCCAGGATGTCCAGAATTTGAAGTATTGTTACAGTCTAATAACATAGAACTTTGGGGTATTCTTCTTTTAATAAGATGGGAATTTGTCTGTCTCGTGCCAAGATAAGCATTCATAATCCAACAGAGTATGGTTGCCACAGTATGAGTATGTAGTAGACTGCTGAGAATGAACAAAGCAGGCACAGCTGGTCAGGCCCAAGTTAAAGGAGATATTTTATCTTACATGTTTGTGCATTAAAAAAAAATATTGAATCTAAAAAATGAAGTTTTGTTTCCCTTGAGAGAAAATTTAATAAATTTAAAAAGCTCCTGGAGTCTAATTTTGAAATTTAATTATACTTTTGTCATTTTCTTTAAACATTCCTTAATTTTAGCTTTGAATATGGAGAAATCACTGTTCTGTGCTGTTTTATGGGCTTATGTTAAAATTAGAACTCAATCACCAGTCTTTATAAATTTACTTGTATGTATTTAAACCAAACCCAATGCTGGTTGTGATATGCTATTCTCATTTGATTTGAATTGTTGCATTCCCAGTAAGGTTTAATTACCACTAAGTAATTCGGACAGAAATAATGTCTGTTCAAAGAGCACTAACTGGGAAGTTTCTTTCTATATGCAACCCCATGCTGAATGAATGAAATCAAACTACATGTTGGTAAAGGTCCTAGAGTGACTTCATATTTATACATTGGTTGTTTGACTCCTCATATTTTTATATTACATGTAATATCATGAGAGGGAGAGTAAAAGAAATACAGAAATTCCAGAGATATTTGAATCCACCTATACTACTATGTTATTTCCGTTTGTCATTTCTTTTGTTTCATCTTTTAAGTAATGAGCTGCTTGAAAAAGTTTCAGTTCTTTAGCTGATTTTTTTTTTTTGCTATAAAAATGGATTTGAAAAGCTCATAAATTTCAGGATGGAAAAGATAATTAAAAGTTAGAAGCAAACAAACAAAAACCACTAGAGCTTGTTGAAGCAATAACCAAGTAATTATCTGCCTTGATGTTATACTTAATGAATTTTATGTATACAAGGTTTTGAGTCAAGAATTTTCTTGATTAATTGGATGTATTTTACAGAATTTCCAACTGTTCACATTGGTTTTCTTTTAGAGTTGATCTGTCTAATGTATTAGATCTTCATGCTTTTGACAGTCTGTCTGGAATAAGGTATGTCTTCTGTATTTTTGTCACTTTTATTGTAATGTACCTTTTATTCCACAGTTACAGGAATGATTTACACAATTGCACCCTTGATTTAAGCTTACTGTCCATTCCTTTGGCATACAAGACCATTCTTAGTGAGGTATGTTCTTGAAAGTTTGTTAATTGGTTGTTTGGAAATCATAATGTATTTTCCTATAGAAATTATAGTATAAATGATAGTTAACTTTAGAGACTAATTGCTAATATTTCTGTACCAACCACTATGTATAATATTCTTTCTGTGGGAAAATGCATGAAATATGTAGAAAATTTTAGCTTAAAGTATTCACACAAGTAACTCTCTTCCCATTAATGAAGGATCAATTTTCTCTTTCTGGGGGAATCTTTTAATTGTGGTAAGAATATTTAATGTGATATCTACTCCCTTAATTTTTTAAGTGTACAATATAGTATTTTTAACTATAAACATTATGATGTTCAGACAGCAGATCTCTAGAACTTACTGATCTTATGTAACTAAAACTTTATACTTGTTGAATATCAACTCCCCATTTCTCCCTGCCCCCACCCCCTGGCAACCACCGTTCTACCCTCTGCTTCTATGAGTTTGACTATTTAATTACCTGATGTAAGTGGAATTATGCATTATTCATCCTTTTGTGACTGGCTTATTTTACTTAGCACAGTGTCCTCAGGGTTCCTCCACATTGTCATGTATATCAGGGTTTCCTTCTTTTTTAAGGCTGGATAATATTCCATGTTGTGTATATACCACGTTTACTTTATCCATTTATCTGTCGGTGGACATTTAGTTTGTTTCCACATCTTGGCTCTTACAAATAATGCTGCAACGAGTATCTTTTCAAGTTTGATATATGTCCATACAAACTCATGAAAATGGACACCTCTCTGGGTATTCTGAATTGGTGAAGCAGTTTTGCTTAAGAGTTGGCATGGTGAGTGGTTGTATACTTGAGACTTCTAATTCCCATTCATATGTATAATTCTAATTTTGCCTTAGCCATGCCTTTAAAAACTAATTCTATTTCAACTGGTTTTTTCCTCCTCATTCTTTAGTATTGTTCACATTTGAAAAATAGCATCTAAAGTAACTTGCGAGAATAGGGCATGATAGTGTTTTATTTGACCTCTTTTATGTTGTAAATTGGAGAGTTTAAATTCACATTTAGTTTATAAAAAAATTGTTAGAGATTATTTCAGCACCTAGAGGTATGGATAGGCAGGGCAGTTATCTCCTCCTTCGCAGTTTGAAACTTAGAGTGAATTTGTGAGTGACAGAGTCATTCTATAATACAAGCCAAGTCTTCAGTTGAGAACTGTTCATTTCACCTGTGGCCTCTGGTGTTGGAGCAGTACCTTTTTAGAGTAAATGAATAACAAGTTGAAATT